GAAAGGTGAGAGGTGACCAATCTTGGGAAGTTTACTTTTAAAATGTATTCCCCTACAGATTACAGATTACATATCCCAAAATGTAGTTTGTAACGTAATCCATTAAATTACTTAGAGTGAGTAACGTAATCTGAATACTTTGGATTACTTGATATTGTCATGATTTTTAAAACTACATGAATGCAGCGACCACATCCTGAAAATTCATGTTTGTTCAGTCTTTACTTGACCATATTAAAAATATAATTGATAGAGAAATATTTTTTATATGAGATCACAGTTATGTCCACACTACTGTTAGTGTCAAATTGTATTAGTTTAGACCTGGTTTAAGACCTGGTTTAGACCTGGTTTAAGACCTGGTTTAAGACCTGGTTTAGACCTGGTTTAAGACCTGGTTTAGACCTGGTTTAAGACCTGGTTTAGACCTGGTTTAGACCTGGTTTAGACCTGGTTTAGACCTGGTTTACCTGGTTTAAGACCTGGTTTTGTCCTAGTTTTACTCCTGGTTTTAGTCCTGGTTTCGTTCTTGTTTAGTCCTGGTTTAGTCCTAGTTTAGCCCAAAATGTGAAAACAGGAAAATCCCGCCATGTAATCCATTTATTTCAACAAAGTAACTGTAATCCAATTACCACTCACTGAAACAGTAACTGTAACTGAATACAGTTACTCATAATTTGTACTCTGATTATGTAACTCCGGTACATGTAATCTGTTACTCCCAAACACTGGAGGTGACTAACTGAAAAACACAAATCACAAATCGTCTCACCTGTTGCAGTTTCAGTTTAGTCAGTTCTTTCTGGTCAGATCGTGTGAAATTAAAGCTCAGATTAAAGTCTAACTTGAGTAACAGATCTTTCTTCAGACAGAGCAGAGCTACATTCACATCACAGCCCCGGAGAATGTTGATGACAACAGCCGCAAAGTATCAATGAAGAACCTTCTAAACCAAGTCAGAAAAAAGTAGAAAAACCTGAAAACCTGTCATATGTACTTTGCATCCGTGAAATGTGGAGAATAGAGATCTTCACTTTAGGTTTGACAAGGAGACAGGATCAGGATCAATCCTACTCATTGATCAGTGAAAGTTGTGTCAGTGAGATCCAAATGTGCGTCCTATAATTAAATAAATACATGACCGCACAGACACAGAGGGCTGTAATCTGATTCAGAGACATCGACCATAAAATCTAATGACATTATTACACCGATGTCTCAAACGTCCATACCGAGCGACAAGAACGGAAGCACGGAAAAGAAGACATAATAATAATAATAATAATAATAATAATGAAAGGCTTTGTCTGGAATTGGTCTAAATATTCATGGTTTTGTGTGCTGAATGTGTGAATGAAACAAAACAAAGTCACCCCAGGATTTATATTTCACCCTGTGGACTCGAAGAACTCAAATAGTTGTACAGACAATGGCTCCCTCTGGTGGAAATCCTTATATCTGCACACATTTTACATTAGAGAAGACAAGGAGATGAGGAGAGAGGAAGCAAGGAGATGAGGAGAGAGGAGGCGAGGACACGAAGAGATAAGAGGGCAAGAAGATGAGGAGAGAGGAGGCGAGGACACGAAGAGATAAGAGGGCAAGAAGATGAGGAGAAAGGAGGTGAGGTTGCAAAGACAAGAAGACAGTCGTACAAGGAGGTGAGGACAGAGGAGACAAGGAGATGAGGAGGCAAGGAGATGAGGAGAGAGGAAGCAAGGAGATGAGGAGAGAGGAGGCGAGGACACGAAGAGATAAGAGGGCAAGAAGATGAGGAGAAAGGAGGTGAGGTTGCAAAGACAAGAAGACAGTCGTACAAGGAGGTGAGGAGGTGAGGACAGAGGAGACAAGGAGATGAGGAGGCAAGGAGATGAGAGGGCGAGAAGAGGAGACTATAGAGAGAGAGGAGACAAGGAGGCGAGGAGAGGAGTAGAAAGGAGGTGAGGGAGCAAGGAGACAGGAGACAATCAGAGAGGAAATGAGGAGAGAGGGGACAAGGCCAAGAGGAGAAAGCGATGAGAAGAGAGGAGGTGAGGAGACAAAGAGATAAGAGGGCAAGAAGATGAGGAGAAAGGAGGTGAGGGAGCACAGACATGAAGAGAGACGTACAAGGAGATTAGGAGGCGAGGAGAGAGGAGGCATGGACAAGAGGAGAGAGGGATGAGGAGAGAGGAGGCGAGGGGGTGAACATACCACAAAACTATCCTCCTTTAAAAAACACACAATTTAAAATGTTGAAACGTGTTTATTTAAAAAAAAAAAAATCCATTTCAATTACGATCACTAAAAAAATAATGATAATAAAAATCTTTTTAAAAATTCATTAACCCAATTATTTTTACTCTACTTTTTAAGACAACACAGACCAACCTGCTGGACTTTACCGGGAGAGAAAACTTTGACACCAGATGATGCCTCCTCACTCTGTTTTACTGAACTTTGTAAAAAATGTCACAGAATTTATTAATGATTTCTTCATTTTCTGCAGCACCAGTGTTTATTATATTTTTATATTTTGTTCAGCAACAGGCACTTGCAAGTTTTGAACTAATTTAATATAAAACGTTAATTAATTGAATGTAACTTTTGCCTCCCTACGTTATATTTACCGTAATTTATGGACTATTGAGTGCACCTGAATATAATGATGCGACAAAATTTTAACTAAATTTTAAACTTGGCGAGGAGAAATTTCAGATGGACAAAAGTTAGTTTGGTTGAAGATGTTTCGCAGCTCAGAGTAGTTAGTTAGCTCCTCCCTGCAGATATAAGGAAGTGTCCACCAGCGTCTGACCAGAACTGAAGAAGCAGCTTGGATGAGCTGTGAAACGTCTTCAACCAAACTAACTTTTGTCCAGTCGACAAACTGAATTTTCTCCTCGCCGTGGATTCTACCTGGACAACTGAGGGATTCTTCACACATCTTGAGAATAAATTTTAAACTTGTACATATATAGTCTACACCTGAATATAAGCCACACGTGTCCACATCTTCAAGAACGTTTTCAAGTTTGGGCCACCTCAAAGAACAAAAAGTCGTCTTTTTGCACTGAGTCAGTTCGTCATGCTGCCGTCACCAACGATAAAATTCATCAAACATTTTCTTCGTTCCGGCTTTAAATCCTCGATCTCGGGATTGCCAACACAGAATGTATGTCTCTTCGCTGATTGGCTGATGCCCAAACTCACACTTCCGGTGTTTTTGCGAAATGTCTAGTGTATTCTGATTCCTGACCAAGATACTGGAAAGAAATTAAATTGAGAAAGAATGTTATGGGAATCTTTACATAATCATTTTAGTTACTTGTGTCAGCATTTATGTGAATGTGTAGGTTGACTTAATTCTGGTTAAATCAGACTTTATCATGTAGTCCGAGGCCTCGTAGAAACCTCCAGGCTCCAGACTCAAATAGTTGTGTCTGGGATCTTTTGTTATCCACTTGTTTTTCACATGTTGTTTTATTTGCTTTGACCCAGCTTTGTGTTGACCGTTCTTGAAAGATGGTGTTGTGTTCTTTTTACATATTCCTACAATTGCTTTAACAAATCAGAGTCTTTAATTTGAGACAACTTCAGATAAAATAAGATAATCCTTTATTGTCTGAAATTTGTCTTGGGACATGGGGTCACATGCTTTATCAAAAAACAGGACAACACACAAACACAAAGCACCACATAAACAAACACCATAAAACAAAAATATATACGAGACCAAGTATGACCACGAGTGATGCACCAACACGACCTTTAAGTCATTCAGCTCAAACCCTTTGCATTCTTGTTTTCTATTAATAATTGCACATTCTTTAAGCCTATATGCAGTTTTGATTGCACATTTCCTAGGCCAGGGGTGTCAAACATAACCAGATCCTCCAAGACCTTTAATCTGGCCCTCGGCTGATTTTCTACTCAAATATTTTAATTATATTTTCTATAAAAATATTGGTAATTTTCTGCGGTGCTTATCACAGCAGCGTCTCCAGCGTCTCTGTACGTGGCCCCTCCCACCAGAGCAGCACAAATGAAGCCTTGTCTCTTTCCAAACGCTCTCAAAGGACGATCGTTTTGACTGTTGACCGTGACACCCTATTAAAAAAGATTTCTGTAATAGATTTGTGTTTCTCTGCACAAATATTTGAACTTATTGCTATTTTTGGGGTTTATATGACATGAGTGTTTCTGATCCGGCCCCTTTGGGATAAAAAGTAGGTTGGATACGACCCCCGGACCAAAATGAGTTTGACACCCCAATCAAAACTGCACATAGGCTTAGGGCAAACCTGTGTGCAGTTTTGATTGCACACTCCCTGAGCCTTTTACATTTATTTTTTAACTGCACTATCTGAGTTTAGCAGATTAACGGCACAAAATAATGCTTGAATCTGTTCAGTTTACAGTTTGGGACCCTGAACTCAAACTCACTGTGAAGAACATGGGTTGGGTCACTGTCCACCTTACTGCCAAAATTCCTTGCAGTCAGCTTGGGGCCACGGCCATTATTTTACCTGCTCTTTTAGTCAAGGTAAAAAGCTGTGATTAAAGATTGACTGACAGGTTACCAAACCATGCCATAAAACTGATTCCATCCACGCTCTGTAAAACATCAGCATTACTTTTGTATCCACTCCACGTAACCTAAACCTTCTTAAAAAATAGAGACGCCGGTTAATTCTTCTCAGTCTATTCTTTATTATAGAAATTCCACAACATATAGTGGGCATATTTCCCACTTTGGTCATATTTAAGGTTTAAAATTTTACTACGCTGGAAATTATAACATCACAGTAGGGAATTCAACAACTGTTACCCGGCAACCATGTTATAGAATGGTATAAAACTCCTTTAAAAAAAAAAAAAGAAAAAAACACCTTTATTTTCTTGAAATTATGTTTAAAATATCAGAATGAATGTGGATTTTTTTGTGTAAATTGTGATAAACTTTTAGATGAATAGAAACCCACATTCCCTCTGGTTTGCATTTGCATTTGCAACGAGGTCAGTAAAAAAATAAAAAGTCAAATATTCTATTAAGTTCTTTTGCTATTAGGAATTTGCTATAGACTTTTTCAGCATTGGCTCTGTGGACTCCATCGGGAAATGATTCATATTTATTTTATCTAACTCGTCTGTGTCTCCACGTTGAGGCGCTGGCGGTTTATATTTGACTTTGAAAACGTCCCATTTTTCCGGAAGCAAGCCTTTGTTGAAGAGCACGGACGTGAGCCAGGAGAATATCAAAACGGCCGCCATCGTGGTCAACATGCTGATGGTTTTGACCGGCGCACACTGCACGTACTCGCCGTCGTCCGAGGCGCACGCCGGGAAACGCAGCACGGGCTTCAGATTCAACGAGGCCTCTCCGAAAAGCATGCGCAAAGGGAAGCCGAAGACCCATCCCATTATGGACCCGTAGCCGTTGGAGAACTTGAAGTACAGGATGCAGATGAGCTGAGGGAAAATGATGATGTAGGCAACTTCATAGCCGAGAAACCAAAACAGGATAATGCTGTTTTTTAGCAGGGTCAGAGAGGTGCCGATCACACCCGAGACCACCACGGAAACACGGATCACCCACTGGATCTCCCTGTCCGACGCCTGTGGAGAGAGAGGAAATGTGTTATTGATTTTACAATGTTTTTCAGTACCGTATTTTTCAGACTATAAGTTGCACTTTTTTTCATGGTGGTCCTGCGACTTATACTCCGGTGCGACTTATATATTAACATTTTCAGACTGAAAGCTGCGAGAGGCTCTAGTCTTGTGTCAGTATCTAGTAATAGTATTACTCCTGTACCACTGTCACTTCACTCTACTGCGCATATCTCCTGTAGAAAAAGCTGCTGTCCTGCTGCTGGAGTGAGCGAGAAACTTGTGAGGGACTGGAGGAAAGCGGGGACGGAGAACACAACTTCACGGTAACCGGACGCGTGCGCCATGTAACTTTCCTGGAAATCACTGGATGAATCGACAAAGCCTGGACTTCAGTGACAATCGAAACCATCCTGTCGGGATTCAGAAAGGTCGGAATAATTCTAACTGGAACTGAACTGAAGAGGAAGCGGCGCTCTGTTTACATCATGGATATATGGTTTATCTCCGGAGGTCGCGCAGAAGTGACACAGAGGAAAGAAGAATTCAATGGATTTAGTGATTTGGAGTGAGATTGTGAGTTTGGTGAACTTATATTGTTTATGCTATAATTATCTGAATAACTCTTAATATGTTACGTTAACATATTAACACCTATTCAGTCTGTTGTTCTCTGTTCTATTGTTACTATAACTTGCCTTTCAAGATGAAATTTCGGTTCCTCGTCTCTGATTTTATAAAATACATTTCCCCAAAAAGTGCGACTTATATATGTTTTTTTTCCTTCTTCATTGTGCATTTTTTGGCTGGTGCGACTCCGGAGCGACTTTTAGTCCAGAAAATATGGTAACCCTGTATGTCTACTACAACAGATGAAAAATCTGGAGGGGTTTTCTTTTTTATTTTCACACAAATTTACCTAAAAGTTGTTTTACCTCCATCTTAAGACGTGCCAAATATCCATTCAGTGTATACGGCTGACAATCAAAGGAGCATTACAGTACCATTGTTTTGTCCCTGTCTCCCTGACACAGATGCATGTCCACAAACTCAGTGAACAGACAAACCCCCCTGATTTGGCAGCAGTTCATCAAGGACACGTGAGTGATGAAGATGAACTCGAAGGCCCTGTCGATATCCCTCTTGTTGTTAGACCTCAGAACTTCGTATGCTGCAGCTGTGATAACCTCCCATGGATTGGTCTGGTGGAGGAGGTTTCAAAAGAATTTGGTGACTATAAGATAAAGTTCATGCACCCTCATGGACCAAATAAGACCTTCTACTGGCCACCCAAAGAGAGATGGATACATGATTCAGACATACACTGTGTGATAAACACTCCTTTCTTGAAATCATCTTCGACAACAAACTACAGCATTTCACATCATGACATGTCCAACATTTCTAACCACTGTTTGAACTGGCCTGCAGATAAGGAGTAAATATCCTGATTGCATGAAACAAAGGCAGTTGTGAAATTTTTTGGGACTTTTGGTTCTGTGTGATTGACAATTTTTCTTAGAGTATATTAACTTGGACTCTGTGTATAAATGTACAGCCGTATACACTGAATGGATATTTGGCATGTCTTAAGATGGGGGTAAGTCAACTTCTAGGTAAATTTGTGTGAAAATAAAAAAATTAAATCCCCAGATGTGGATTCCTTATGATGTTTCCTTTCCAGATATACCTTGGTTTTCATATCGGACCAGTAGTTGCTGAATAAATGCAATTTGAAATTTGGCGACCATGCAAAAATTTGAAAACATGAAATTGAGATATTTTGGAAATCGTTGGTCCGATCAAACGAACATTGAAATTTTTGTCTTTTCTGGTTATGATTGACCTAAATATCAAGTTTCATCAAAATTTGAGAAAGTAGGGTCTTTGTCAAACTGTAACTGTAACACCTGTAACTGAATAAACGTAAGGCAGAGCTGTTTAACGTTCCAGGCAAAGCAATGACATATCCATAGAAACAACCAAGCAACGGCCCTCCAGAAGAAAAATTACACAGTGCCTCTTTAAAACCTTCAAACCTGCGGTCGAAGGATCTTCTTGTAGATGTTTGCGGTGAAGACGGAGGCGGCGGAGAGGAGCACCGAGTCTGCAGAGGACATGACAGCAGCGGCCACGCAGCCGATGCCCAGCACGGACACGTAGACTGGGGTGAGGTACTGCAGGGTCAGGGGCAGGATCTGTGCCACCTGCCCCCGGTCGAACGGAGTGGGCAGCCCGTAAGACGTCTGGTTCCAGTCTGAGGAGAGAAGCCACAAGTCACTGGACGTTTCTGGTTGTAGGAATCTGTGAATCATTCCTTCATTAATTTTTCAAAATAAAACTAAATAATTTTCTTCATTATTTGTCTCCAAAACCAAAATGAAAAAATGGATAATGATTCATGTTTTTTTTTTTTTTTCAGTTTTCAGTTTTGTGTTTAAATGAGTAATGGAAAAAAAAAAGTTTTTATTTGTATATTTTTGTTTGCTCAAACTAGAAATATGTTAAAAATAAACCCTCAGCCTTTTCAGCAGGTCTAAAAATTTTACTTTTCAGTTCTGCTCAAACATGCAGTGGAATAGAAAGTACAGATACCAGCTCTCAAATGTAATGAAGTAAAATAAAAATTCCAGTCAAATGAAGCTCATTGAAAGATGATATAGACATTTTTCACAATGGCCAGAAGTGCCGCGATGTAGGGTAAACGTAACTCCTACTCCACATAGAAAATGTTTGCTGCAAACTCGGGATGATTTAGGCAGACAAAGTTTTCCTTTTTCATCCTTCCTGTGGATCAATCCTGCCCATCGCCTTCACCTTTCACTATTTTTCAGTTCCGTTGGGAAGGGAAACAGTTTGAAGGGAAGTTTGCAGTCACACACATCTGATTCCCTTTTGCAGTTTTGGAGTTCGCAAACACATTTCTTGAGCCGTTTTCCGCTGTTAGGATCCAACAACCACACAATTACAATGTCCAAATCCCAAAACTAAAATATGACAATATCAGAACCAGAAACAAAAGTGATATGGTTCAAAAGACTTGAAAAGATCGACTTTGTCAATAGACGCAACCACTGGGAAATCAAACATGGCGGTTTGATGCTCACTTTTTCGGAAAATCCTTCCCAGTATGCACTGCGCAATGACTGGAAGACCGAAATTCGTGATGCACATATTTGGAGTCAGGTCCTGTATTTAAAATTCAGACCACGAGTATCATAGCAACCAAAGAGCCAATCAGCAGTGAGTCTGTGGAAGGTAACGTCCCTTTCCGCTGATTTAGCAACGCTGTCAATCAAACCTGTTGATTATTGGGAGTGATTTTGGGGAAAGAAGGAATCTGATTGGTCTGATTATCTTGATTTACAGGCAATATAGGGAAATATAAACACCTGGATCATGCAGAGTGGGTTAATACAAACATTTTAAGAGACAAGACATTACAGTAGTGATGGGCAAATGAGTCGGAGCTCCGGAGCACGTCTAGTTCTTTCTGAAACAAATTGTTCTGAAGCGCTGCCTCGGAGCTCGTCTCGCAGCAGCCGCTCACGTGACCGGAGTGTGGAAGTGTCGGTCCCTCCTTCTACTGCTTCGCTCTGCGCGTCAATCGCTTCAGTGTATCGAAGCGTTTCATCGGCTCAGAGAATGTTTCATTTTCGATGGCATCTACAAGTGGAAAAAAGCGATCCATGGTTGGTTTGGGATCACTTTGATCTAATTCCACCCAACAAGGTAACACCTATTTTCTTATTTACAGCATGATATTTATGTTGCTCTTTACATTTTATTTTAAATCATCATTATTATTGTTGTTGTTAGGTACGGTGTCGCTCTGCACACAAGTATTGTCTTACACTAACAATACTTCATCGACGCTGAGACACCTGCTGCCAATGGTTAAATTTGTCCACTAGAGGTCAGTGTTTCTCCGAGGCCTCAGACACGTCGAACCATTTGAGACAATATTGCGACTGAGGTGTCAGTGCTTCACGAGGCTCCATTCGCCCGTCACTACAATACAGGATTATTAAAAACGCAGTGACAGTTCAAAACAGAAACTCTAAAAGTGAGAGAAAAGTGTTAAAAGCTCACGAAAGTCAATATTATACACACTATGTCCCCTTTAATGTCCCAGTGCAAAAAGTGAGTTCCCAGATGTACCTGTAGAGGCCGCTGCAGCCCCCATGAGCACAGGTGGGATTCCAAACAGTAGAATAATCCAGGCCGCTGCCATACAGGTGATTTTAGCGCTGCGTGTAGAAGAGACGGCTAAAATCCTCTGGTGGAAGCACTGGTAGCCCAGACTGCCCAGAGTCTAGAGCACACACAGAGTGGACTGTGTGGTTACATGGAAAAACATTATGTAAATACACTAAAAGTACTACTACTTTTACTATTACTACTACTATTACCACCAATACTACTATGAATACTTTTAATACTACTGCTGCTACTACTACTAGGAGCACAGGCAGGGTGGACTTTGAGGTTAGATGGAAAAACATTATGTACTACTACTACTACTACTACTAGTGCTACTATTACTACAGTTACTACTACTCTACTACCGCCAACTTCTACTACTTCTACTACTACTGCTACTACGACTACGACTATTACTACTACTACTACTACTACTACTGCTACTACGACTATTACATCTACTACTATTACTACTATTGCTACTATTACTACTACTACTACGACTGCTACTGCTACTACTACTACTACTACTACTACTACTACTACTACTACTACTACTACTACTACTACTACGACTATTACTAGTGCTACTATTACTACAGTACTACTACTACTACTACCGCCAATCCTACTACTACTACTACTACCATCTTCTACTACTTCTACTACTACTGCTACTACTGCTACTACTACTAACTACTACTACTACTACTACTACTACTGCTACTACTGACTTACTACTACTACTACTACTACGACTGCTACTGCTACTACGACTATTACTACTACTACTACTACTACTACTGCTAACTACTTACTACTACTACTAACTACTACTACTACTACTACTACTACTACTACTACTACTACTACTACTACTTACTACTACTACTACTACTACTACTACTACTACTACTACTACTACTACTACTACTACTACTACTACTACTACTACTACTACTACTACTACTACTACTACTACTACTACTACTACTACTACTACTACTACTACTACTACTACTACTACTACTACTACTACTACTACTACTACTACTACTACTACTACTACTACTACTACTACTACTACTACTACTACTACTACTACTACTACTACTACTACTACTGCTACTACTACTACTACCTACTACTACTACTACTACTACTACTACTACTACTACTACTACTACTACTACTGCTACTACTACTACTACTACTACTACTACTACTACTACTACTACTACTACTACTACTACTACTACTTATGGACTTATGGGCCAGTGACTCGAGACTCGACTTGGACTTGCCTGTCTTTGACTTGGGACTTGACTCGGACTTGAGGTCAAAAACGTCTTGAGACTTACTTGAGACTTGCAAAACAAAGCCTTGGTCCCACCTCTTCTATTTACATATTTTAAAGCTGAATTATGTAACATTTCTGGTGGAGGGTCCGTCAAATGCTTTTTTTTTTTTTTTTCCATGGAGCTGTTGTTGCTCTAGTATGGCATTAAACCTTTCTATCTTCATGGAGACCAAACCAGACCAAGTTACAGGTCAGATCTGTGGAGAGGCGACCCCGCTCACAGTCAGAATGCCTGTTTTTTGTTATTTTTGAGCCATAAAACCCCATGTAATTCAATAAATATAAAGCAGAACTGTTTTATGTCATACTGTGCGACCTTCAAAATAGAGCAACAAAAAGGTATTATGTATTTGGCATCCTATTGTTATTTATTATTATTATTATTTTAAATTTTTTCTCACCATAAGAAGGAAGTCATCCATTTTGGTCCACATTTTGTCCCAGCTGAACTCTCCGATCCAGGGGGCGTGGAGGGAGTTGTTAAATACGGTCTGAGTGATGCTGACGGTGTGAGGGCTGCTCAGGACGAAGGGAACACAGATCCACTGCAAAGGTCAGAGGTCAAATACGAGCTCATTAAAATCAAGTCTAGGATTAACACAAAACACCATGGCTACATACTGTAACTGCATCTGTTTAGTAGCGATTACTGAAAGGAATCACCGTATCGGAAATGATTTGCTTCCAGACACGTTGTTTCTGTGTCCGCAATCCTTCTCTATCCACGGAGCTTTGAGCATATTTGTTCACGTTTTACAGAAACAAAACTTCAAACCGCATGGCTAATTTACATTAACCGAAAGTTCAAAAAACAACTCGCTATTGTGCACTGATGCGGTTCAGCTTCTGTCGGACTAAAGGACACGACTCAGTGGAATATGCGTGTTCTTTCTATGACAGAGGGGTGTTCTGCTGATGGTGAGTCTGTTCTGTGCTTCTATCGTGTTGGAGATGCTTCATATTAAACTTTTCAGAGATTATACGTCTGCAGGTCGTACACACAGACTGTATATATGAATGGACATATATTCTAGCCTCTTATGCCCTGTCCACACTAGTACATATTCGAGTGTTTTTTGTTGTTGATGCAGTGTTCGTCCAAACTAATCCGACTGAAAACGGCTCCAGAGATGGAACGATTTGGTGCCGCCAACTCCCACGAATTTATCTGAGTACAGATCTGATCCGGCACTGTGTGGACGCCTGAAATACACTGATGTAGGTCTGTGCACCGCAAAGTAATTCAAATGCTAAGAGGCTAGAATATATGTCCATTCATATATACAGTCTGTGTGTACGACCTGCAGACGTATAATCTCTGAAAAGTTTCACATGAACCATCTCCAACACGACAGAAACACAGAACAGACTCACCATCAGCAGAACACCCCTCTGTCACAGAAAGAACACTCATATAATCCACTGAGTCGTGTCCTTTAGTCCGACAGAAGCTGAACTGCATCAGCGCACAACAGCAAACTGTTTTTTGAGTGCTTAGTTTATGCAAATTAGTCATGTGGTTTTAAGTTTCGTTTCTGTAAAACGTAAACAAATGTGCTCAAAGCTGTGTGGATAGGGAAGGATTGCGGACACAGAAATGACGTGTCTGGATGTAAATCGTTTCCGATACGACGATATGGTGATTCATTTCAGTGTAAACGTAGCCTTAGCATTTTGGTGGTGAATTACTTCGCGGCACATAGACCTATGTCAGGGTATCAAAGTTTTCAGGCGTCCACACTGTGCCGGATCAGATCCGTACACAGATGAATTCATGGGAGCACCAGATCGTTCCGTTTTCCATTGGATTAGTTTGGACGAACGCTACATCTGCTACGAAAACAACTCGAATTCGTACTAGTGTGGATGGGGCCTGAGTGAGAAGCGAGTGAGATAGTAGCTACAGTTAGGTATAGTTTTTTTTAGTTTTGTTTTGAATGCTTAAAACTAATGGAAAAAAACGCCATGAAGAGATACTATCTGGAAAAAATCTGTTTGATCGGTAATAGGGATCCTTATGAGATACCTGCAAAACAATGGACTCGAGACATGGAGATGAAGAAAACTGGGACATTTTCTCATTTTTCCTAGATTTTGTCAGAATTACTACCGCGAACAGAGCCGGAAGTTGTCATCGCGTGTTTCCAAGCGTCTTCCTCGAGCCTTTTTTAACTCACCAGACTGACGAATATGAGGAGGAGCTGGATGACGTCAGTGTAGGCCACGGAGTAGAGTCCTCCCAGCAGAGTGTACACGATCACCACAGCAGCGGAGATCCAGATACTGAGGGAGTAGGGCAGGTCCAGAACCACGCTCATGGTCGATCCTAAACAACACATATTCTACTATTAGGATCTTTAGGATTTTTATTCATACCAAAATTGTGTATTATTGTGTAACTTTTCTGGTGGAGGGCTATTTTTTATGTTTATTAAGGACATCACAGTCGCATTAGACAAGCCAGATACGTTGCGTTGAGTGTGAGTTTTCCATATAAAAATATAAACTATGTGCATAAAAACAGACAATACAAGACACATAAGTTACATACAGATAAAATATATACAGTACATTTTCTATGGATGCATTTTTGACTGAAAACATACAACAATTTTAATTTACTTTTAAATTTGTTTGTTATAGGTTTCCAATTTTAAATCAACAGACAATCAACATTTTCTTTGGGTTTGTATGTGTCCAATCTGTTCCAGAGTTAATTTAACATTTTTGGAAATGTTAATTGAGTAACACTGTACCAAAGTTCCTGTTTAACCCCAAAATCAAGAGTTATATTAACATTTTGACAGTAAACAGATAACACTTTGTAGAGTTATCCTGATTTAGCTAAATAACACACAGAGGTATTTTATTTTTACACTTTATTTTAGTTCATTTAAGGTGAAATTATTTACAAAACTGGTTCAAACTGGTCTTCTCTCGCTGGAGTTTGACGCCAAATTAACACTAAGCAAAGTTGAATTAACTTCAACCATATCAACTCTGACAAATAACCCCAACTCGAACCCCCATTTAACTTTCAAATAGTTAAAATAACACTTTTTGTGTTAAAAACAACTCTGAAATGTTTCACCCTGAAATTTTCATCCTCCAGTTTTTGCTGTGTACTTGTATTTGAGTTGTGTTTCTTGCCTAGCTCCTTCAGATACAACATAGTTTTTCAAATTTTTGGTCTACACTTTTTGATTTTGTGCATTATTTGATGTTTTGTCCTTAAAATTAAATCAACTTTAGATGTTACGTCCAGACAGATACTCAATTACTTTTACTTTTTGCTACTCCACCCATCGTTTTTAATTTTTTTAATTTGACTTTTATTTAACCAGGATCAGGGACCATCGTGCATATTTGGTCTTATCAGTTTCAGACTTCATCTCAAACGTCTGCATGCCCCAATGACACCCCTGTGTGTTTTTCCTGCACTAATCCATGTTTGTTGACAGGTTCTCCATTCTCGGTATCTGCAGCCTGAAAACGCTCTGTTTGATGGCAAAACATTCGCTTCCAATTAGTCTGAGCTGCAGCATGACTTATTTGGTAATAAAGCGTACACTCAAGCGTTCAGTATCCGGAACTTTGGAACTCACTGCTGACGAGCTCGAACCCGTTCACTTGTGTAAATGTTCACGAGAATATTCAATCATTCTTTAAGGTCAAAATTGAGTTGTGCTTTAAAGAAAATGTATGTACCCTGCGCTCTTACTGTGTTACTGTAATCACAACTGAGCCCAAAGATTAAAGGACGCATACGAGTTTTTCTAATTCTCAGTTCATGGACGCATCTCATGTGAAAGTTCAGAACCTCCAGAATTCACTCACTGAGCTGCAGCACAAAAAAGTAATGCTTTTCTCAATGGAGATGTTTGATTCCTTTGTCTGGAATGTTTCACAGTATGGCATTAAACATTTCTATCTTCATGGAGACCAAGCCAGACCAAGTTACAGGTCAGATCGGTGGAGAGGCGACCCCACTCACAGTCAGAATGTGTTTTTCTAGGTATTTTTGAGCTATAAAACCAACTGGAATTGAATAAATGCAGTGGCGAACCGTGGACCTGGACCCTGGGCCTTCACTAGGACCGACTGCTGGCTATCATTACATCATTTACCATCATTTAAGCCTCCAACCCCATCAAAAAACGACTGCACGCCCCACAATACACGAATCCACTCAGGTGTCCCAGCACGACTTCAGTAAACTACAAAGCCGCACCACCCACAGCGAACGCAAACACACACGGAGCAGACAGCGACCGCACAGCGAAAAACACCCGCAGACACACTCATCACTCCACGCCGACGAGGAACGGAACGGAGGAACGAACCGAAAAAGCGAGCGCAATGTGCCACTTCTAGACACGACTGAACAACTGAGTCACTGCGAACACGCCGACAATCCAGCGATCCCAGACAGCACCTCCCTACACGCCACAACTGAACAAAGCCCAGAGTCACCGTGAACGAACAAACAAACAAAACCACTGACCCATCCAACTGTTGTGTTTCATTTAATGTCCGGTGCGGTTTATTTGTGAAAAATTTAATGACAGTGCGCCTTATAATCCAGAGCGCCTAATAGTGCGGAAAATACGGTATTTAAAAAAAGTAAATGAAGAGACACACACACACACAGTGATCACACATTCACTTATTTCATATATTTGTTTAATAATCATTAGCTACTAGGGGTGTAACAATGTCCAAGTCTCACGATACGATATCATCACGGTATGAACCTCACGACACGATATTTATTGCGATATCGTGGAAAAGCTCACGATATGGTGGGGAGGCTCGTGATTAGGGATGTAAACAATATCCAAATCCAAATCTCTCGGTATATTTTCGGTACGATACGATATTTATTGTGATATTTTGTGGAGACAAACAAAACTGTTTATATGCTACTTTTTCCTCTTAAAATGCCTTGACGAGACTTAATCCAAAGAACTAAGACTTAAAAGTGCTTAGAACTGTTATTTCTTCTTATAGTCTGCACTGAAATAGAGCAAAGGATCATGGTCTATGTAGTTCCCTCTGTCTTTTTTTAAAAAATCTATTGCTGCACCATAACTCTTAATTTAAGCAAAAAGACTTGTAATTCAATATATTGTGATGGTCCACGATATTATTGTGAGAACTTTGACGATACGATATCACGATATTTCGATTATTGTTACATCCATATTAGCTCCTGTTCAACAACTACGCATGGATGGATCTTCCATTTCCACTATATTAACCCTTTGTTTGCCAAGAAATATCAGTCCAAGTTTATAATAATGATCTAGAAATGATTACTTGTGTAGTGTTTATTACTCACTGAATAAAAAATATTGAAAAAAATCTGAATAAATGTAATGTAGAGCTGTTTAAAGTAGGGATGGGCATGATTAATCGATTAATCGATAATTGATCATTAAGAATTTCATCGATTACATTAATTTTAATCGACAAACCGAATGTAGGTTGCTGTACGTAGCGTAACCAAACAGGTGTGTACATGTGTCTCTCTGCATCAGAAGGAGCGAGACACAAACATTCGGTCAGTCTGCAACGTACCGAAGCACAAATGTGGATTTAACGATGATTTGTACAATAAATTCCAGGCTTTCCGTTGCGTTCGGGACAAGTGTGAGTCCATGTGCACAGTGTATAAAGCAGCACATATGTTTCGGTGTCCAGTGGGAAAAAGTTTTCCAGGTGAGAGTCGCGCAATGTCGATGACGAGTCCCCACCTCCCTCCCCCCGTACGGTGTCCTGGTTTTGACAAATGCAAATCTGGTCACACTAACCTGTATTCACCTGAGTCATGTCTTTTAATCCGACAGAAATTGAACCGCATCAGCGACACAAGAGCTGTAGTTTTATCTTCGCTTAGTTTATGCAAATTAGCGATGCGGTTTTAAGTTTTGTTTCTGTGAGAGTTGAGCAAAACTGAATTAAACACATTATAATGTCAAACGGGCTGATGTGGCTCTAGAGTCGTTACGGTTTATATGTCGGAAAGTTGAATTTATTTATGCAGATTAGTAGTGCAGATAGTAATAATAATGATGATCATTACGTTAATGATTAATCGATAATCGATCGTTAATTCTTCTGACGATCAATTACGAAAATTTCATCGAATGCCCATCCCTAGTTTAAAGTCATACTGTGGAGCATTCCAGGCAGAGCAATGACATATCCATAGAAACAAGAAAGTGACACAATGCACCTTTAAGTAAAAGTACAGATACTAGAGCAAAAACTTACACAAGTAAAAAGTAAAAATATCACATAAAATCTACTTAAGTAAGCATTAAAGTACATGTTTAAAAATGTACTTAAAGAGTAAAAAGTAAAAGTATTTTGTGCATGTTTTGAGGTCTTATAATGTTGTGTTTTTTTGTTGTTTTTTTTCCGTTCTTATTTGTATATTTTTGTTTTCTCAAATTATAAATGTGTTAAAATAAACCCTCAGTCTTTTGAGCAGGTCTCAAACTTTTTTTTCAGTCCTGTTCAAAAATGTAGTGGAGTAGAAAGTACAAATACCTGCTCTAAAATGTAGTGAAGTAAAAGTAAAAAGTATCCACTGTAAAATGTACTCAGATAAAGTGCAGATACCTAAAATGTACTTTATTACTTTTACTTTTTTCCACCTTTGGCACTGGTTCACGACTGTCTGCAGGAGCTGGGGTTTAGGTAGTGACCGTTCAGATCAGAGAGAGGTATTTTAGGTTTAAACAAATTGGATTTCAGCTTTGAAACTGGCAATGCAAATTATAACATAAACATTTTGACCATCATGTCCAGTGTTTGTTGTAATTGGAATTGTTACCAGTAAAGGCTGTATTTGATCTGAACATGTCAACCTTGTATCTGAGGACACTGGGAGGTCGCAGTCCAATCAGGTTCATTTGGTCTTCCGGTGATTTATGTCATTAGGTTCTTTTTTCAGATTGTTTGTTTTCATACCTGACAAATTCCACCGCTCCCTGCAGGCTTCCTCAGAGTCACGTGATGTTGCTGACGTGTCGTTCAGCTGATTGTGGGAAATTATGTGGTGGCCATGCTAATTCACCTAATATTATGGACTTTGGAATGACAACAGGGTGGAAAACACGTATGACTATCTATAGGTCTATATAACATGTTTTTCTGTACTTGGAGTGCCATAAAGAACATGTTTTTCTGGACTTTGAGATGCCACGAAGCAGAAAAACTGACATATGTGGACCCCGTGGCATGTTCCCACCCATGATAAGGTGCACTGGGTCAGCAGTATTGTTCATTTTCTTGCTGTATATGCTAAATCAACAAGTTAATGTTTTGTCAAGATGTAGTATAAAGCTACCCCTGATTTTGAGTTGGTCAGAGACGTCGTTCCGGGGTGGCAGTTGTACTTGGTAATCAACTTGAATCCCTCTCAATGGAAAATGACGAAATAAAGTGGCCTGTTCTCTCGGATTCTCCATCTCCTGTGCTTCTTTTTAGGACACGCATTGAACCTTCCGAAAAAACCCACATGATTTAAACCGGTTTTGGCGCTGTCTTACTTCCGGTGGAGGCAGGACGACAGCGCCATCTGCAGTCCGACTTCCTCAGGACAGTATCCCGGGTGTGTGAGAGTAAAAAAGCCCCCTCGTCCCGGTTTATAATCCCGTGGGCACGTTCCTGTATTACGATTGCCTCTTTAATCCAGCTACGGTGTTTGTTTTCCTCTGTTCCAGTCCAGAATGTGGTTCTCTCTTTTAGGGTCATCAGAAACGGCTGATTTGAGTTGTTCCTGTTCTGCTTTGTGTTTTGTTGCTGGTGTTTCGCCTTCGCTGTTTCCTTCTCGTATTCTGTTCTATGTTCCTTTTTAGTGGACTGAACACCCTCCCTGTGTTCCCGATGTGTGTTTTATTCCAGGACATGCAGGGTATTTCATATTGGACATTACATTTATGCTCCAGTTCTATTTTATCTTTTGGGTGGATGAGTAATTGCTTGAGTTTTCTGTACGGTTTCACTGATGTGTTGATATTGTGTTTTCTCATTGCTCTAAGCACTTTTTCTGTTATGCCCCTGATGTATGGTAATGTTACCATCACTGTTGGGCAAGTGACTTTAAAACTGTAATGTGTTATTAATGACTTATTACTGTCATTTAAAAGTAATTCGTTACATTACAATATTACTGTGTTTAAAATGTAAGACATTACATGACTATTTCAGCACTTTTAAGTTACTCTCACCAAAATAACTGTGAAGATGCTGAAATTTTGTGCTGTATAATGGACTGAACCAGGACTAAACCAGGACTAAACCAGGACCAAACCAGGATTAATCTTGAACTAGAACTTGGAATCTAGGACCGCCCCTGAGAGAACCCCGAGCCTGTGGAGCAGGGTGTCTAAAAGGCGCGATAGGGCGTCAACTGCGGTTAGTCCCGTGGAGCATGGAGTTGTTGTGTTGTGGAGCTGATCACGTGGTGATTCGTATGAAGAAAAACCCACCACTTCAATCCAGATTAAAAAAGCATTGTAACGCACGAGTAAAATATTAAATTTTTTTTCCCTGTAATGCCGAACATTACTGTGTTACTTTTATAATGCATTACTCCCAACACTGGTTACCATACCTGGGCTCTTTTTTCCATTTTATTTTTGTTTTTCTAGTTCTGTTTTTCTTTCTCTCCGGGAGGGCGTTTAATATACGAAAAAAGGAACATAGAACAAAATGAGAGAAGGAAACAGCGAAGGCGAAACACAAGCAACAAAACACAAAACAGAACTGGAACAACTCAAATCGGCCATTTTTGAGCACTATAAAAGAGAGAACCACATTATGGGTGGGACGGAGCAAACGTCACTGGGACAGAGGAAAACAAACACAGTCGCTGGATTAAAGCCGCAATCGAAATACAGAAATGTGCCCACGGGACGATAAACCGGGATGAGGGGTCGTTTTTACTCTCACACACCAGGGATACTGTCTTGAGGAATTCGGACTGCAGGTGGCGCTGTCGTCCTGCCTCCACTGGTAGGAAGACAGCGTCAAAACCTGTTTAAATCAACTGAACGACACGTCACAGCAACATCACGTGACTCTGAGGAAGACCGCAGGGAGCAGTCGAAACTGTCAGGTACGAAAACAAACTCTGAAAAAATCACCAGGAGGACATGTTTATGGAGTTTTAAATCAAAATAATATATAGTTCCCTTAAAAAAGTGAATGATGACTTACCCAGACCTATGAGTGTCGTTCCCAACCACAGCACGTCCAGCAGCACAGAGGCCAGACACAGAGGAGCCGTCAGGATTTTACCGTATTTCAGGTGGAAAGGGTCCATCATGGTCACGCACTTCAGCTCCCTCATCGGCTTCACGAACACAAAAGCACCTGATTTTACACAAAAGCAACAAAGCTAAAAATACACCGCTTGGTCACATGGGGTTTCACTTTTATGTTTGTTGAGGCAACGGTCTGCACAGTGCACTCACACACACGCACAAACACACACACACACTCACACACAGGCACAAACACACACTCACACACACACGCACAAACACACACACACTCACACAATGATGGCATGATTTTAGAAGGACAGACAAGCGTATGGGACAGGAGTATGAGAATAGGTCTGTTATTTCCTAAAACTGGGTTAAAGAATGTTTATGGACCCTTGTTGTTTGTAAAGTAAAGTTTTCCCACAAACACAACAAGGACCATATATGAAAACTGTTTAATGGGCTTTACAATGGAACTAATACATTTGGTAGCCAGGTTGGTGCCACCTAGTGCCTCTGCTCAATTTCATTTCTCTCCAGTGGCCAAGTCAGGAATCGGAATACACTAGACGGTTCGCAAAAATTTCCGGAAGTGCGAGTTTGGGCATCAGCCAATCAGCAAAGAGCCATACATTCAGTGTTGGTTCCCGAGATCGAGGATTTAAAGGCAGAACAAAGAGAATGCTCGGTGAATTTTATTAAAGGGAAAGACGTTATTGCCCATCATGACTAAACAGCAGCGATCGGTTAAATCAGGCATGTCCAAACTACGGCCCGGGGGCCAAATGCGGCCCTCAGACAAATTTTTCTAGGCCCTCAGGCTTCCAGGTGAATTGGCCCAAATTAACTTGCATCAATTAAAATTTTACTTTTTACTGCAAGTTTTTTGAAAATCTACCTTGATAAAGCCAATATTTCATATTTAGTTTGTGGTTTTAAGGATCTTAGCATGAATAAAGTCTGATGACTCATTCTAATGTGTTAAACCTGCACATATTTCAATTATTCGCTGTATTGAGCTCCAGTCTACGGCCCTCGATCAGCCCTCTGCTTCATCTGTGTTTAGACATGTGGCCCTTGATGAAAAAAGTTTGGACACCCCTGGGTTAAATGAAAAACATACCCGCCTACTGTTGAGCGAACCAATTCTAATGCCGCAAGGTCAGCCAGTCAAACAGGCTGATGAATCAGGCTAAACATTTGGGGCTTTCTGGTCAAAAACAGCTAAACCCAACTATGTGCTGCCTTCAGTGGCCTCTGACATCAGGACTGCCCTGATCACTGCTTGGTGTTTCAGCTGACTGCAGGGGCGCAGTCTGAAGTGTGTGCTGTGTATCAGAGCCTTCCCCATGACAGCACAGAAATATGCCCACCCATATCATAATTTTACTGCACAGCCCCAGTAACCTGCCCAGTAAGAATCGTTTATATAATCGTGTTGGTGCCATTTTCTATGTTGTAATTTAGGCTCTTTTTCAGTTCAGATTCAAATTAATATTGTAATTTGTGTTATATGAAGTGACTGCTTGTTGCTACTAAATTTAGGGTTACATTGCTGTACTATGTTTGATAATTTGTATTTAAGGTCATTTTAATTTAGTTTGAATTGGTTCAGATTGATTAGTTTGGAATTTCCGGATGTGTAGCCAATGGGAGCTGGGGCATTGAGTTCACGCATGGATGTGGAGAAAAAACGTTGCTTTTTTGTTTATGTGAGAACTTCATTAAAAGACGGGGCGAACACTGTTTTTCTAACGTCGTTGAAACCTAAACATGAGTAGACTCGTTCTTTCCGTCTGGAAGTGGTTGATTTCATGAATATGCAAGGGGAGAATTCACGGAACATCAGAGAGGAAATTTAGCCGCTACAAACAGTGATCATTAAAGAGTTAAGTTTTTAAGCTATTGTGTCTTGGTCCTCGTAGAGTGCTGCGGGCCTTTGCTGACCATCACATTGTTTCTGTTTCATGTAGATCAGGAGCTCTTCACCCCATTCCAAGTAGCTCGCCAAGGGGTTTCTGAATCTACATGTATTGTCCTAAATAAGTAAAATTTGATCAAATAAATGTCTATTACCATTGTACATGTATCATTTTGACTAACTTAACTTTGCACAATAATAAATGGACAATGGTCGATGTTTTATAGGTATGTAACTGGACTTCATCTAAGGTAGGGTGACCATATTTCCGTACCTGGACACCTTACCGGGGGTGGGGCCTCGACATTGAGCTACTCTCACCTCACAACCTGTGCGCATGGCCTCCCACTTGCCGGAAAACAGAGAATTTCTTGTACAAGTCATCGTTAATGCGCATTTGCACTTCGGCATGTTGCAGACTGACTGACTGTTTGTGTCTGCTCGCTCCTTCTGACTGCAGAGAGCTACGAGAGCCGCTCAGTTTAATGGCCCCAATGAAAGATCATGAAAACCCGGACATTTCCACCACTTAAAAAAAAAAAAAAACTCGGACGCCTAGGACAAGACGCAAAAAACAGACATGTCCGGGGGAAAAACGGACATTTGGTCACCCTAGTCTAAGGCTCACCGTGACTCTTATATATGCTCAATTTCTTGTGACTGCTAAAACGAGTAGCTCCCTGGCATTTCTGTTTTATAAAAGTAGCTCACCAGAGGAAAAAGGCTGGCGACCGATGATGTAGATTAACACCACAACATACAGTACAGCGGAGTGTTCTGGCCATTATTCACAGCACAGAAAACTGCAACAGTCAAGGTAAAACTGCACCAAAGCTGTCGGCTGTCACTGACACACTACAGACTGAGAACCAGCGGTGTGTAGACCAAGCAATATGGAGGTTCACGTACCCACAATGAAGGAGACGGAGTAGGCCAGGATCAGCTGCAGAGTTTCAGCCAGACCTAAAGACGGCGTGTACATCATCTCCGTCAGGCCTACGATAAAACCTCCTCCGATCCATGTGGCTGTAGAAACACAACACCATGTAAGACTCCAGGAGACTGAGAAGCTCCGACTACAATCCTGCACGTTTACAGGTACATGTTTTTGCATTTTCTTGATTTTAAAGAGAGGGTATTACTGTATTTTCCGCACTATAGGGCGCACTTAAAAGTCTTTAATTTCATCAAAAAACTACTGTGCGCCTTATAATCCAGAGCGCCTTATATATGAATTTATTTGGGTGTCTTAGTACGACTTTAGTAAACTACAAAGCCACACCACTTGCAGCATTACAGCTCCTGTAGTCAGGAGCATCGTGGAGTAATACATACTGTGATTCATTTTAATATCAAAATGCACCTGTCAAGAGACACGCTTACAGCGCCCACTTTAAACTCAAGGCTGTTATAAAGTGAAAGTGCGAGCTGCGTGGGAGCAGTGGATGAGAGAAGGAGAACACACATTCACCATGACAGGGAGACAGTGCAGAGCGACTTACGCCACGATCTGCCAATGGATCGTGGACGCCTGGGCTAAGGATCAGTATCAACTGTGGTCCAAGCTTTCACCAAGACCAGAATCATCACTGAACTGCCAGGGAACAGTAACCACACTGACTCGGATCATGACGAGAGGGATGTGGACGTGCTGGACGCCGTAATCACCCAACTGTTTGAACAATTATGACTTACTGTGAATACACGAACAATTTAGTGTCTCAGACAGTGTTTTTTTACACATTACAATTGAACAAAGTTGAGAGTTAAACGCGTTAAATAAAGTTTGACTGACTTATCTAACTTTTGTGTTTCGTTTAATGCGCCTTATAGTCTGGTGTGGTTTATATGTGAAAAAAGTTTAAAAATAGACCATTCAATGACAGTGCGCCTTATAATCCAGAGTGCCCTATAGTGCGGTAAATACGGTATCCTAAATCGATTTTCATTTAGGTTTCTACCTGTTATAACATTCCCTCATTAAAAACATGAGGCACCATTAGTAGTTTTGCCTCTAACCCTCTTTAAAAGTTCCCCATTCTGCAAAATTGACTCTTCTGATCTTTTTGCCGTGTTATAATGTTCCTTCATCATAAACAGACCTGGAGTTGTGTTTTGTTTCGTTCACACATCATCATCATCATTATCATCTTTATTCCGGACTCATGGTCCATTTTAAAAACAGACAAGGACAAAACAAAACAATAAACATTCATGTTTTTAACCAGCCATTTGTGAAATCAGTCTTGTTCTGACCTCTCCACTAAAATGATTGCATGAGTGAACTCAGTTGCATATACACAAGTTTCACACTGTATGTCTTACACTTTGGCACACACCTAAAAAATTATTTTTCTCATCCGCCCAAATTTTTTTTGTTAAAATTAAGGTGTAGAAAAGCTGCAGTAGGTAGCTGGGGACTGAAACACTCTATATTTCTATTGAAAACCATGTTGACTTTTACATTTCAAATTTGATGAGAATATCTATAAAAATAGGATTTTAGACTACTTTTATTTGCAGTATATTTAGGCTGTTTTCCAGAGGACTTTTGCTTTAAAATTTATCAAACCTATCCAAACCTATCCAAATGGAGACATTTTGGAGAACGTTTGGAAAAAGCAATAACTTTTGAATGCTTCAACCCAAGACATCAATGAGGGCTCTACTGAAGGCTCACACTTAGAGGAATCTTTATCTACACACCAAGCTGCTCTATTCCTTATGAAAATATATATAGCATATCAAAACACAATATAAAATGTATATTTATATATAAAATATAGTCAAAACAAGTGTTATGGGTCAAAATAAATGTATATTTACAAATGTATAACAATGCAAACTGTAAACAAACACATTTCAAACTGTAAACAAACACATTTCAAACTGTAAACAAACACACTTCAAACTGTAAACAAACACACTTCAAATCAATCGTAAACACACATTTCAAACTGTAAACAAACACACTTCAAACTGTAAACAAACACATTTCAAACTGTAAACAAACACACTTCAAACTGTAAACAAACACACTTCAAACTGTAAACAAACACACTTCAAACTGTAAACACACACACTGCAAACTAAACGCAAAAACACTTTTTTCTATTGTCCTTGTTCTTTGTGCCAATCATTTATAACAGTCCCTAAACATTTCTTCTTCCACTGAGTCCACCGCGGAACATCGCTCTCCGGTTCCGACAGCTCCTGTCGAGGTGTCACTCAGCCTTCTAGTACATATTTCCGCAGCTTCCAAGGCTGAAACCGGTCTTCTCTGTTCGTTTAGCCATAACTTCGAAAACAAAGGCAAAGCACCAACACGCACGGAGTATGTACTGGAGTATGTACTGTACTATACTGTACTATACTGTACTGATGTACTGTGTACAGTAAACACCTCAAACTGTATATATAAACTCTTTTTTTGACTGCCCATTGGCTATTAGGTAAAGCGTCACTAGTGCGTACGCGTAACCATTGGCTGCGTAAAAGACGCATGCTTTACGCACACAGTCCTTTGTGTTTGTGCCGGCGGTTACGCATGATCCAGGCGGCGCAGGTATACAGAAAACCATGGCTTGTGATATGTCATTGTGTTCATTGGCTCGTTGACTGTAAGGGAAAATATCACTCCGCGCCTGTAATCAAGTTTGGGTGATTGTGCACGAGTGGGGAGTAAACTTTCTGAGTTCTGTAACTGATTGGCGGTGTGGGGCTTTAGTAACGAAAACTGCACTCTTTTGTGACCAAAGTGCCAATTAAATGCTAACTCTTTCGTTTAGCATAGACAGTAGCGTTATCGTGCTCAGTAATATCTTAGCCCTGAAATCGCCAGAAGAAATGCAAAAAAAAGTGACGGATCACTTTTCACGTTTGGAATTTTTGGAATACTTTCCGCATAGAAGAACTAATTCATTTTGTGGACATATTTTCTTCACTGGATTATATTCTCTGGACCTGTACGGACCAAATGAGACCAACTTTCTGGGGATATGTGGATGTTTGACAGAATGAGAGCCCTCAAAAGGTAGAAGAACAGTCCAAATCCTTTGCACGTGCTTTTCTTGTCAGTGCTCTTGTGGTTACTGTGGAAAATGATTTAGATATTCAAAAAGACGAGACTTGTAGCTTTAATTTGATGTGTATATTGTTAGTGTGGACGACGGAGATTCATATGCAAATTGCTGTAGCCGGCGGGCCGTCAGATCCTTATCAGGTTAAAAGACAGCCATACCAGTGTCTCCACATATTGGGCTGATGTCTTGTTGCACTGAATCTCAGATTTGTGAGTGACATTATTATTTCATGTCTGATTTGTTCAGTCTGCAGATAAAACTGTACATTGAAATTCTAAGTGCAGCTTGCAAAGTGTTCACTCGTGCAGTAACAAACATTTCAATCGCACTTATCCATCGTGGCCTCCTCAAAGGCTACGTTCAGACTGCAGGGCTTAATGTCCAATTCCAATTTTTTTGTGAAATCCGAAAGTCGTTCACATTTCCAATTAAATGTGACTTGTATGTGACTCCAGTGTGAACTTTAAACGGCCCGAAAGTGTCCCGCATGCGCACTGGAGACATGATGACGTCAACTGCAGCGAGCGTGCTCTGTGTTTACGGAAGTTGTCAAAAACATGGACGCGAGCATTGAGCATCTGGAGATTTAAAAGTTTCTCTTGTACCGGAACCAGAACATGAACAACTTACTTGTTTTAAGGAGGAGATTGAGAGGGAGAAGGACGAGGTTTTTGGACATGGCGTTTTGTGGTTCAGTCTATTGAAAAGAACATGTGGATGTGGAGACGTAGCCAAGAGTGGTGGGATAGCGATGTGCTTCACTTCAGTGACACGGATTTCATTAACAATTTTCGTATGACGAGAAGAACGTTTGTGTACAATTGTGGCTTGTTGATAACGTGTAGGTCGGATGAATGCGCTTTGGCCATTCAGACTGAAGTCGCATGTCAAAAGATCAGATATGTATCGGTTTCAGGACCACATATCCAAGTGGCCTGGGTCACATTTGAAAAAAATCGGATCTGTGTTGTTCAGACTGTCATTAAAAGATCAGATACAGGAACATAGGGGCCAAAAAATCTGATTTGGGTCACTTCAGGCTGCAGGTTGAGCATCATTATAGGCACCTGCAGTCTTTACAAACTGGCTTTTTTATAATTAGTCCAGAGGTGAGCTGTATACAACGTGAACAATATGATTTAAACAATAACAACTTTACATCATTTGTACAAGAACCAAACTTACGCATAAGAGCCTGAGCATAGAGCGTCGTACGCTGGCTGCACATGTTTGAGTAACCCTTTATTATGAGTCTGTCTACATCTCCAAAGCTCAAAATGCTCTGCTCCACATTGTGATGTCAAGAAGCAGCCATTTTCAACTTAAAGGTTGTATGGAGGATTTTTCTTTTTTTGTTTCAAATTGTCAGTGAAAGTTTAAAACACCATTACAGAGATGCAGCAGCCTTGTAATTATGATGACCAAAAAAAAAAAAGAATGAAAATCTATCAACTGTGGACGTAGTGAGGCCAGATAAACATCAGCCAATAGAAAACAAGGCTACCTCATTATCTATTGGCTGTTAGATTGTCAATCAAACTTCCTACGTTTCTAGTGTAACTGACTCATGGTGTGCGGGGATTACGTGGTTTATGCAGCGGTTCTTAGAGGCTTTTTTAAACTGTCGCTTCCTTGCAGTTTGCACAGAGTTTGTTGCGACGGTGGACGAAAATTCACAACCAGTTCGCCGCAAAAGAAAGTTCGTTGTTGAGGTCACGGAAAGAAAAAGAGAAGGGGAAAAGGAGCGAAGCCAAACTGAGGTGATTTTGGGAGATTTCTTCCAGCGATGGCGCGAAGGAATCAGACAAAGGGTCTAAAAACTGACGTGTCGGTCGCTAAATTATTTCTAGACAGGAAACTTCAAGAGTAATTCTGAATGCACACTGACTGTAAACAAGCGTGATTTCTAGAGTAAGGAAAGGAGGCGGGAGGGAGCTCTGGAGG